TCAACATGAAACTGTGCCCAGATACAGAAAACATGTTGGTGTATTGAGGATTCCAACCCCGACCACATTCGATGGAGCAGGTGGGCGTGGTGGCGTGGCGAAGTGACCTGTAACGCCATCGCCATACGTTTGGCTCTCAATTCCACATTTTCGGGCCCAGCTGCTGCAAACTCATAAGGATGGACCCTCATCCACTCCCCAACAGGAATCCATCACAATATTTGGTGGGCGTAGCCTAATTTCTCTATAGCGCCCCCTAGAAAATTTTAAATGATCAGCCCCAAGCCATGCTTTAACCTACAAATACGAAACTTTGTACACATGTGTACCTTGTCAGGACGTACAAAAAAGTCTCTTGGAGCCATGGTCTAAACCCCACAGGAAGTCAGCCATTTTGGATTCAAGTTCGGTTTTTGACCCCATTTTTGCAGTTTACAGCCTTTGTATTTGATCTATCTCCTCCTAGGGATTTCGATTGATCGGCTTCAAACTCGGTCAGTCTGTTCATAAGGCATGTCTCATCTAAAGTTATCTAAACGGTGAGTTTTTGAGTATGCTGAAGGGGGGTTAGCAGGGGTCAAAGTTCACCTACTCGCCATAAAAACATAAACTGCTATATCTCCTACACAGAAACTCACAGAGGCACCAAAGTTTCTGTGATTGATCATCATCGGGTCTCCTACATTACCCTATGGTCGAATGATGACATCACTTAGGCCACGCCCCCTGAGAACAGGAAGTGTAATGTTTACTGTGAACGTTCGCTATCCGACCCCTTTGACCTCATCAACCTGAAACTGTGCCCAGACACCGAAGACATGTTGGTGTATTGAGGATTCCAACCCCGACCAGCTACGATAGAGCAGGTGGGCATGGCGGCGTGGCGAAGTTACCTGTAACGCCATCGCCATACGTTTGGCTCTCAATACCACATTTTCGGGCTCAGCTGCTGCAAACTCACAAGGATGAATATTTATCCACTCCCCGACTGGAATCCATCACAATATTTGTAGGGCGTGGCCTAATTTCTCTATAGCGCCCCCTAGAAAACAGCAGCCCATAGGTTATGTTGTTATTAATTATTTAAATATACATATTATAACTTTTTATATATATATATATATAAGTTTATTTTGTGGGTTAAAGTACAAACATTCATTCATTTTTGCTAGAAATAATACAAAGAAAGTCATTCAGCAAAACTTATGACACAGCGAAGTAAGAACACACTGGGGTCAGTGTTGATGGAGTACCACTGGCACCTTGTGGAGAAATACTGGTACTGCTAGTGCAATACCAGTATTGCGACAGCAGGAGGCAGTGGTACTCCATCAATGAGAAAACAGATCGACGCTACGTAATAACAGTCAGCCGGCGACAGCTGGAGCTGCGAAGTTTTCCTGAACATTTTGCCTGCTTTTTGGAGCCACAGAACTGGACTACGCTCAACATTTTGCTTGGATTTTGGAGTTGCAAATACGAACCACGCTTTGGAGCAAGAAGGCTCTGTTGGACCGGAGTTGGAGCAGTTTAATGGGCTCTTTGCACCTCAGCTTACACGTTCGGGAAACATGGCTGAAATGTTTTTCCAAGGTAACAATTAATAATGTACATCGATCCGAAACCCCAACAAGTAAGGCAAAGAAAGGTTTTAAGATGTTCGCCTCGTTATACATTCACAGATATGAAGGTGAGTTTTATTTTCTTTAAACTGCTAGCACAAGCCTGCTAGCTTTCTAGTAAAAATCTGCTATTTAATTATCTAAAGATTTCTCAGCCATTCTAAGGGACACTGTTTGTGCCTTATTTTCAAGTATATTACGTGTGTTTATTGTTAACGACAATAGAGCAGCGGGGAGGAGGGGGGCAGATTACAGTTCAGACTTTTTGCTTGAAGTATGACGAAGAAAAACGAGCACAGAGCTTACTCTGGTATCGGAGTTCTAGTTCAGCTGAGTGTTCAGATTCAGAGTTATTACTTTTAGAAAAAATGGCCGTGTTGCTTAAGGTTTCTGTGTTTTTTTCGTTTTATTACTTTTGCATGCTTGTTGTGAAGGGCTCATTAAGACAGTGTTTAGAGCGGTGTGTACGGCGTTAGCTTCAAGTGGTAGCTTTAACTTGTAGCAACGAATATTTACAAGCTGTCTTAATTGAGGATGGCTTGGAAATCCATGAAAACTTAAACAAAGTACATAGTATTGTTTTATTTGTGTCTTAAGTACGACTTTGTCTTTTATAGCAGTCATAGTTTCTGAAAGTGGAAAAAAGAGCCGCATTCGGGTATACAGTTGTGACGTCAGCGCGGCAGGTGCAAAGAGCCCATTGCTGTTCGTTTAAACAGTCGTAACTCGCGGTGCGGTGAGTAATTTATTCCTTCCTGCTGGTTCTGGAAGCCGTCATGTTTGGAACAGTTATTCTGAGGAGGATGCTAACCCAATGCCTGAGGCCTGCAACGTTTTTAATGCTAACGAAGCGCTTGACTAATTCAATAAACTGAATAGTGTGTGTGATACATCCAGTTTCATACATTGAGAGTTGTTTGTTATTATGTATAGAAGATGTTTAAAATGTCGTTTGAAAGAGCTCTGAGAAAATGCTAAGTATCTTTTTTACCGATCCATTGGGGTTGTAATATTTAGTTGCAGCACTTCCTGTGATTAATACCTAATTAATGGATGGGATTCAGTCTGTGCTATTGTTCTAAAGTGCTGAAAGTTAACTGTGCTCTGTTATTGTGCATTGCCCTTGGTTTATTACTGAACAGTGCGGTTTATTAAACTGATACATCTTAACCTTCACCATTTTCCTGACTCATTTCACGATAACGTTAAAGTTGCACTGCATTTAGATCTCAGTTGTAGTTAACATCAAGCATGTGGGTGTGGCTTAGTGTAAAACTTTCACTATTTACCATGAAACATCAACATTAAATGACTTCCAAATGCAAGATCACAGCTGCATGACACTTCCTCTGTCTTTCTAGAGAACAGCCTTGAACACATTTCCATGGTCACTTGATGACCTCACTGTAGCCCCGCCCACTTTTAAGAGGCAGTCACATGTTTTTTCTGCTGTATGTTTTACTGTTATTCTATAATTTATATGGGTTTCATCATGTGAATACTGACTAAAAATGATAACATGATGAACTCTATGAATGCTGGCTGCTGACCGAACCGCATTGGGGTGTAGAAATGACGAACTGCATTACTTCGCCACGTGCATATGATCGGCTCTAAATGACACATGGATCATCCGACTGGCGCCAAATTGGATACGTATGACCTTTGTTGACCTCTAAAGAGCAAAACAGCATTGAAATGTATTTGGCTCCACTGCGCTCCTACATTAATCTGCCAACTATATTTCCTCGCTAAACCAATGAATCTATACCACATTTTTTTGCATTGTGAAGGATAGCCGCCGAACGCATAGATGCGTACCGCCTGGTGGACGGGCGCGGAAACTGCGCAACAACATCTGTCTTAGCACGTGGTCAGCGTTGATGGAAACTGAGCAACAGCTTCCGCGGTGCGGGCGGAGGCGCTGAAAACTGCGTGAGAGCTTCTGTGGTGGCTGGCGTGAGGCGGCGGTTGCTTGTACCCCGCGGTGGCAATAGGCCGGAGCGGCGCTTGGCTGCGAGGGCCGTTCGAGGCTGCTTGCAGCTTTAATTTCTTCTTTTTTTCCCCCCTAAACCATTTTAAACCCTTTGGTATGAAACTGAGCTCAGGCGGATCCTGTTTCCAATGCACCATCAAGTCAAATGAAGACTTTAGAAACTGGATTGTGTCAAGGCACAAATCTGAGGGAAAGACGCAGAAATACAGAAGATGTTACATGGTCTTTCCTATTAATAGTCGTTCAAAGTTTTAAATCACTGGAACCATCCCTGGATCAGGATGTCAGACCAAATTTTGCGTCTTGACCAAAGAGGTGACAAAGAACCCAATAGTCACTAAAGCGGAGCTCCAACGTTGAAGCACCTTGAAGGCCAACAACTGCTAATGCAGTCCAACCACCAGGCCGTTTTGGTAGAGCGGTCAGATGGATCTGATGGTCGACTTGAATTGTGCAGAAACGCATCCCCAACTCCTGCCGCGCAACCGTTATGTGCATCGTCAAACGACTGCCGTATCTCCCCAACATGTCTTTACACTTTAATTTGCACTAATTAATTATTGGTTATATTCAAATGTGCCCTTCACGCTGAGTCATCAAAAAAGTTGCAGAGCAAGAGCTCCCTGTGGACTTCAGTTAACAGACACCTGCCTCACAGATGGTCAGATTAGTAGAGACAAAACTCTTTGCTCAGAGAAACAAAATCAGTGGGTATGGGGGGCGAGAGGCAGTTCGCCCAGGAAGCCAAACAGGCTACGACCGCCTCTGATAGTGGCACTAGTGAAAAACACCCAGATGTTGATAATACAGTTCGACTCACAAAAAAAAAAAAAACACACAAGTCTACACATCTCACTTGGAACTTTAGTTTTCCAAAACACATCAAGGCCAGATTAAAGCATATAATCTTTTAATGTGGTATACTGTGCACTCCGCACTATTCAGATGAAAATAATAATAATAATAATAATAATAATAAAAACATTTAAATGGTTCAGAAGAAGCATCCCAGTCACCTGAGCATCATTATGACAAAAAAAAAAAAAAACTAAAAAAAAACTTTGAAGGTTTTGCTTCAAAGTTGCAGACAAAAAGCCCCACAAGCGGCGCTGAAACATCACCTTTCATCCCCTCAGTAACAGACCCGCAGCAGTGCGGTTATCTGCTGCTGCAGCTCAGCCAGATATCTGAACTCTCCACCGGTCAGCCGCTTTGTTGTGCTCACCATTTGACCCACCACTGAGCAGCAGCGTCCGCATTATGCTCCTGATCGACGAGAGCCAGCGGAGGCTGATGAACAGTAAAAAAGGCTCTGTCAAAGTAAGACCGCCAACCTACGGGAAGCTCCTCGGCGCTCAGCCGGTCACGTCGAGAGGACGAACCTGCTGCCAGGTGATGTTTGTGTCCGACAGGGGGAAGTTGCGCATCCTGCCGCTGTCCCTCCCCGGTCGGTGTCCGCCGGTCGGTGTCCGCCTGTCGGAGGCCTCGTCGCCGCCTCCTCCGCCGCGGGGCCCAGCTGCTTCGTCCGGGTCTCCGCCTCGGCGCTGCGCCCTCAGAACCGGGCCGAAGAAGAGCACAACCTGATGTTCACACCGTCACGGCTCAACGCAGGACCCGCCGCCTCCTGGAAGAGACGGGAAGAGCGCCCCCTGCTGACACACGGGCGCATGTCCGTGAAGCCATCCTGCAGCGTAAAAACATTGTGTACAAAAAACAAAAAAAAAATCAGCTCATTCATTTAATGTACAGTGATATTAGCCAATACAATAAAAATAATAAATATACTACTAGATTAACAGTTGGCCTAAATAAATATTGTTATGAAAAGAACATTTATTTTTGAAATGGATAAAATTAAAAAACTTTAGCACAGGAACTTTATTTCTTGTGCTAAACAGGAAATGACTTGTTTTTGTATTCCTCAAAAACAGTGACTTGTTTTTGAGGAACCATTTCATAAGTGTTATTTCACTTTATTTATATGGTTTAACTCCTGTGGCCTGACGTCCAGCCAATTAAATCAACAATTTGCCCAGTGTGTTAAAAGATGAAATATTTCCCTTTCTTTAAATGTATTTTGTTTCGATCCAATTTTTTGTCCTGTACCCCGGAGAAGAAACTCTACTTAGCAAAGTAGTCAATGATGGGGTACAATGTACTTTCAATTTATTGCTAAAGTAAATCTTTGTGGGTCACCGGGCCCCGCTTGGCTCCCATCTAGATCCGGCCATGCCTCCACCTGGAGACGGCGCGTTGACAATAGCGATGCATCATTCTGAGCTTATAAACAAAATGAGTGCGAACGCTTCTTCTATAAAAGAAGTTTATTGTGCAAGAGCTTCACAGGTCCATTGGAAACATGTCACTGTAGGAAACCGACATGGAGGAAAGGAAACAGTGCAAGGACTCCATGCACAGCGGAAACAGACGGAGAATCTGAGTGAAAAGGTTGGATGCTGGTTTGACTTGACTGGTTGATCTGCTGCTGCAGAAATGAAGTCATTCAGGAAATAAACCAACAACAACAGAAAAGGCTTTTCATTCAAGTAAACAGATTTCCTTCAAGTTTAAAAAGTTTGGCCCAAAGCAAAATGTACAGACAATTAAAAAAAACAAAAACAAATGATATGTAAAAACATGAATGTAATGTCAAATAATTGTACAATTATCAACAATTAAAAAAAAAAAAAAAAGGCAGTGATGTTTTGTGCGTGAATGTGTCTTCACATCTTAATCTTTAAACTCAAGCTAGTTTTAAAATCTCTTCTTCACTGTGGTAAAACATCACATTATTGTTTTTTTGTTTTTTCTCGTGACTAAAAAAGTAAATGACTTTACAAATCTGTGCTTTACTAAAAAATAAAATATATTCCAAAAAAACGCTCCGATATTTTCCCGACACGTAAAAAAATATCCCAGAGAACTGTTCGATCATACGTAGAAAAACATGGTGAGCGTGTTCGATATACAGGTCAGATCATGGCAAGGCGATTCTTCAGAAGACAATCAGTGCCGCTTGTCGTGCCGAGACACCGAGCGGTGGCAGAGGTCGAAGGTCGCTATGTGTGGGCAGAAGAGCGGAGGACATGGAATCGCTTCAGAGTCATCCGGATGGATCCCAACTCGCGGTTCAGTCTCTCCAGACGATTCTCTAAGGCGACCTGATAGAAGAGAACAGCAAAATATTTGAACAACTTCCACCCATAAAGGAAAATGGTCGACATCGTCTGTCCAGTCTTGACACAACAACCCATTTTCCTGAACGATAAATTGTTACACAAATGCGGCTAATGGGATCTATAGCTTAAAACAACATTTGAAGCTCATTTAAGAATATTGTGGCATATATCGTGATATAGTAAAAATATACTGGGATATTAGATTTTTCTCATGTCCCCCAGTCTGAGGTCTAATCAAAATTTTGCCTGACAGAGAAGTCCCACAACAAAAATAACCCACAAAAAAATACAGTGAATATGTGAGATTAAATAGTCCTGTCAATGCAAAATTTAAGATAAGTAAAATATTTAAGGCCAACTTAGTTTTTAAAAATGAATGTTAGACATTTTTAGGTATTCATTTAGAAACAAACTTTTTAAGCAGACATGGACACCCAATATATCAATTCTCATAATAAATAGATTAGATTTAACATATTTTGAGAGTCGCAATATATATTTTACTTTTGAGACTGTAAGATTTTACGACACATTTAATATTGTGTATGACGTTACATAATACTGATGATTAAATTGTTCTTATGGGATTCTCAAGTCTTATCCATATGCTTAAGCAAGAAAACCTTTAAGTGAAAGATTTCACTTATTGTTTCAATATGCTAATAGTTTCTAATGTGATTTTTAATATAATAAAACAGGAAATGAACTTTGTTTTGAAATGACAGGTCAGGAGTAATCAGTTGATAATTGTTTTCTAGTATCTCACCTCATCTAATCGGGTCTGTAGGCTCACTCTGCCACCTGCTCCAGGCATCCTGCTCAAAGCTGCCTCAATCTGCGCACACACAGACACACACACACACACACACACACACACACACACACACACACACACACACACACACACACACACACACACACACACACACACACACAGATAAAGCAGTGAACACACTGAAGCTCATTAGATCAGAATAAAGGCAGGAGGAGGGATTGAAATGAGTGACCCTATAAACCTCTTATGTAAGCGGCTGAACGTTTGGTCAGAGCTGCACCTTCAAATTTATCCTTCTGACATTAAAAAATAAAGACACTAAGATGCATCAGACTCTCCAACTCACCTGCAGTTTCTCCTGCGTCAGCTCATCAAACAGTCTTTCAGCCTCAGTCAGTGACTGGGTTCTGTCCGGGGCCAGCAGCAGAGCCGGGTCCACTGAGGGGTCCGGCTGCTCTGGACCACCACCGTCTCTTTGCTGCTCCCAGCCCAGCTGGACGCTTCTGTCCAGTGGCTCCATGCGGCCGGAGGGCTCCTGATCCCCTGAGATAGAAAGAAAGAAAAAAAAAAGAAAAAAGAAACAACTGAAGACGAATTGACATTTATAATCAGACACAAATATTAAGTGCGAGTTCCAAATGATTACAGGTTTCGTTTCTCAAACAAGGAGTTAAAATCAAAAATAACTTGGACGTGCTCTAAAATAAATAAACATGCCCAGAATACAACCGCAGAAAGAACAGACGGCCGCCAGGGCTTTCAGGATCTTGTGCGTTACCTTTCTCCTCTGCTGATGTGAAGTGGAGTCTCTTCCTGGGACTGCTGCTGTGGAACGAGTGCCGTCTCCTGTCGGCGTGTCCGTCACTGTGTGGACAGACCAAAAGCAGACAGTTTCAGTGAGTGTGTCTAAAAGCCGCCTTCACTGACAGACAGGAACAGAATGCTAGCAGTAGTTACGGCCATTTCATGATAACTTATTTGTGGACTAACCAGACAAAAAGTGTTAAAAAGGGCAGCAGTCTAATATCTTCTGGTCAAACGCAACATCTCAGGCTTTATGTAATGAAACCAACTGTTTTTGGGTTGGAATGAAGAAATGACAAAACAGTGTCTTTTGCTAACTTGTTTATTTTAAATGTGACCATAAACACAGACTGTTCTTTACATTAAATAAAGTTTCTCAAAAAGCTAAAATTAATTGTCTTCTTTTTGTGTCATAGCTTGACGTTGCACTCTTTCTGCCGTCCTCTACTGCCCTCTACGGGTCACAGTGGTTATGGGTTTGCAATAAAAAACAATTCGCCCCTGAATCGCCTGCAGGATGTTTCATTTCTCACCTTTGGATCAGGTGCTCCTCTCTTGGCATCAGGTGGCCAAAAGCAGTGGAGTAGTTCTCAGTGGGGCAGCGTTTAGGACTGGACATGGCAGACAGGGGCGTGAGTAACGTCTCCCTCTTGGCTAAAAAGAAGAAGAAAGGAAGGTGGAGATGCCATGACCGTCATACAAACATGCAGATTTGGATAAATGTCTCATTTTGTAGTATGACAAAGTTCCTGCAAGTTTTACCAACTTAAAGACTGTTTATGGCTATTAGGAACAAAATAAGACCTGAATCACAACAAATGTACAACAGAAAATTGTATGTCCTGCCAATAAATTTGTTCATATTGATGGTAGCTGCAGCAAAGCAAGCTAGCAACGGCATATTAGCTGCCGCTGTTTTTACTTCAAGTCTTCATCAGCAATCATCAAAACATTGGCATAATACAAACAAAAAAACATCCTAGGTTGAATTTTATACATAAAAGAACTGAGAAAGTAATTAGAGATTACAAGATACAACAGTTGTGTAATAAATTTACAGTATTTTTTTGGGATTATTGAATGAAGTAATGAGATAATATTACCAAGGATGAAGGAGTCCCTGTAAGAACTTACTTGGAGTAGCAGTAGGGATGTTTCTATGAGCTGCAGGTGGCAGTGAGGAGGACCTGTGGCCCTCGGGGGACAGACTCCTCTGGGCCCTCAGCAGGGCTGCGGTCCTGTCCGCTGCGCCGCGACTTCTCGCGCCCCCGCCGTCGGGCCCCGTAGCTGCCGCTCCTGCTGGTTTCGCGACCTCGGTCTCGTCCAGAACCGGATCGGGTCGCTTCCGGACCGGCTCTTTGTGTTTCCGCTCCACGAACCCAACGGTGGCCCTCTGATGGCCGACCCCTGCAGACACACAAATAAATAAAATCCTACAGGCCGAGCAGGTAGCAGCCGTGTTTCCTGCGCTAAGTGAAACAATAATTCTGCAAAATTAATTCTGAAAGCATTTGGCCCATTTTAGGATGCAAAATGAACAAAGCGTCTGCCTCCAAGACGGTTTTACTTTTATTTGTAGGTGGAAAAAATACGGGAAGTCACATTGTTTACAGTGACTTTAAAAACTATTCATACATTTTAAAACTTTCCATTTTTTAACCACAATGTATTTTAACTAGTTGTTATGTGGCTCAATATTTATTTTAACAAGTGAAAACCTGAAATGTGCTTTGAGCATTTCTCTTTTGGGATTTCTGCAATTTTTGTGAATTTATTGAAGTTTCCTTATGCAAAACAGCTAAAGTTCAGTCAGATGGGACGCGTAGCAGTTTTCAAGTCTTCC